GCTACCCTTCCCACAGACCCAGATCCAACAAAATAAAAACTGCGTGGGTCCATTGCTCGTCTCCAGCAACCGAGCGGATATTGAGCCAATAATTTGATTGTCTGATGTTTTGTAATTGAAAAAAAAAAACCATATAGGGAAAAACAGAAATAGAGATAGGAAGGTAGAAGGAAGTGCATGGCATAAATCGACTTTTGTTTTCCTTTTTATAAAGGCAATTCGTAGAGCAGGACGAGACAGAGTTACCTTTGGCAAGATTCGAACATTAATTAATGGGATTTGATTGTGCATATGGATAAAGTTAAAATAAAACAATCTAGGAAAGTGCGAAAGAAAATGCTCAATATTGAAATACTCGGAACTGTGTTTAGGATTGATTTGAGTTTCACAATTTGTTTACTTAATTGTGAATATCTTTTGTTTCGCCCCTCAAATTACATATTTTGCACTTGTGCTAATATTAGATATCAAAGTATTTTAAATTATTCATTATTGTATTGCATTACATTTTATTATATATATTATACAATCTTCTTAAGCGTTCCCAGTCATTATTATTTGTATTCCCGCTCTTTCAAATTTACCCCCCACCTAATACAGTCTGAGAGCCAAGCAACATATAATTATGCACTTAGCACATATCTCAACTAAACATCTAAATTAAATTTATGTACTTACTAAGAGTAACAAAATCAACAACAACGACAACAAGAAGAAGCAATAACGTAATTTAATCTAATTAATAACTTTCATGTTTTAAGGCTCATTAATTTTGCTTGTTAACATTTTTAGTTAACAAATTTTGAAGTTTTCTTGCTGCCATAGATTTTTCACATTTTCCAGACAGGAAAATTACGAAGCAAAACGAAAAAGAAATTGCAAAGAAATAGCGAAATAAATATATATCAAAGCAGCTGAAAGACATTTGCATGGCTTTCACTTTTGGCGAAATGGAAATGTAGAAATGTCGGAATGGGGGAAAAGTGTTGTTCGGAATATGAAAAATTTGTCACAAATTACTTTCACTCGACTCGAATTACGAAGGAAACAAAAGCGGATGTCCGCTGAATGTTGACAGAATCCTTTCACTGCCATGCCCCTCATCTACATCTCCTGCTTGCTGCTCCTGCACTTTCCCCTCTGCTGCATCCAGCATCCATGTTTGCATGTCAAATTAAATTTCTATACAAATAGAAATAGGCGAAAGGCAGCTGCTCGAAACCCGCAGCCACAAGCCTTTACAGCGGCCGAAAAAGTGAAAGGATGCACAGGACATGGGAGGAGGAGAGAGTGAGATGGAAGCACAGTAGAGCGGGTGAGGTTGCGGGCGTAGTAGCTGAAAAATGCAGTGACTGTGTAACGCCTTTAATGATGATAAATGCGCAGACAAAGTTCCGCCACATTTAGCGACAAAAATCACTCTAAAATTAGAGAGGGAGAGCATGAAAAAAGGGAGAGTGAGAGAGAGATAGGTGCAGGGTAACCCTAACACGCGTATTGGGTTACACAACAAACAAAAATTTAGGGCGCATGCGTCGCACGCTCTCAAAACTGCGACTGCCAGACTCCGGGAACTCTTTGAAACATATGTCAAAAGGTGCGTTGAGCACGCGCTAAATTCCTTTTTCGATTTTCAAAAATGTATTTTTTATCGCCTGCATATCCCATCGCTGCGTGATGCGCACAATGCTATCTCTGCCCATACGATGTATTATATACGACGTATTATATACGTTTTAAATATTTCTATTGCTATTCCATGGCGTTAACCGCACCCCTTTTCACCTTGTCTAGCAGCCATTTTTTACGATCCTTTGATTGGGACTCTGATTCTGATATTTATTGCTTATCATATTTAAAGCGACAATGCAAAACAGGGTTGGAAATTTTTAGAGGCTCTCATTTTATAACGTCCTCCACTTCCACCCCTTTTGCTACCCTACCAAATTGACAGCTGCAAACGAAAAATTGCATGAGATTTCGAATTTTTTCCATTTTTGCGCGCAATTTTTGCTTTAAAAATCTGTAAAAAGCGGGTAAAAACTAATTGATTGAAAAATAAAATGTAAGGAAAATTTGGGAAAAAAATTCCTATGAAATCCGCTTAAGTGACATTTTAACCTCTTGCCGAGATTTTCTTTGTCACCCAAAAAATGAAAATAAAATCGTAACGTATTTTTGGGTAATGGT